TCCCCGCCGCTCCCGTAGGGTACCGGGAATAACCCACGCTCGGGACACGGCAGAGCCGCAGCGAGCCTGCGATACAGAGCTAGGAATCGAAATGTTAAATATGTACAAATAATACCAATAGTACTTACCTACTAATCACTACGAACACCATACCACAGCGGCCAAAATTTTCCCCAAGTGTTTGATGAATTAAGTTAATCAGCCAAGCGTATCCTCAGGGGTGTTCATTTGCCACAGGATGGATGTTCGGTGGCGTTTAATAAATAATTTGGCTTTTTTAAAGTATTTAGGGTCAGAAAGCAGGATGGTACATCTCATCAGCACTGGTTGTCCAAAGGGATGAGCCAAAGTTCTTCCCCAAGTGGACAGAGGGCAAGGCAGCTCTGCTCTCCTCCTGAAACACAAACAGATTTTGGAAAAGCTTCCCCTGAAAGATATGATCCAGTCACAAAAATCTAGGCCGAGCTTTATAGAACATTACATGCATAAACAGAGGGAAGAGGAGTTAATGGGGATTGAAAGATAGCTTCTGGATTATTTAAAAAGGGTGGACTTTTTGGTCCTGTTCTCTTCCAATGAATATTATTGATGGAGGAAGAAAAAAACCTAGAAAGATTTACTTTGCAAAAATGCTAAGTAGACTGCATTAACTGAGACCAATAGAAAGCTATTGAAAATAATTTAAATTAAACAGAGATAAGTTGAAAGATGGTCTTTCCAGCTATGCCCTTTGGTCAAATGCTGAATCATTTATGATCAGAGTTGGTGCTTTATTTGGCTGAGGTGCTGAGCTCCCTGCTTTGTCTTAAGCTTGGAGAAGCTTTATCTTCACCACTGGAGTGGGTGGGGGAAAGAAAGACATTTGAGATGTGCAGACTGAAAAATTCTGTGTAAAGTAATATTTGTGTTAAAATAAAAATGAAAAACTTCCGAAGTGTTGAGAATGCTATTGGAAGTGTACCTGGCTGGTTCTTTTTGTGGCTGGATGGTAAAAGTTCTGTCCAGTTCTTTGGCTCAAGCACCAGAGGAGCCCTTGGTCATGCTTGATGACAGGTGTATTCTGGTGGCAGCTTCTAATTCAGAGAAGATTGAACCACCCAAGCTACAAAGCCAGCTTCATGTGGCAGAAAATTCCAATTTCTGATTTTTTGTATCCAAGATTGAGTTTTATTATCATTTCTCAGAAGTAGTGAAATTTCTCATAAAAATGTAAAGTCCTTCAACTATACATGAAAAATATTCTTACAAAATTTCTGGCTACCTCTGGGATTTGTTTCCTTATTTACATAGATACTATGCAAATTCAGGGGAGAATGTGAAATAACATATTTTTAAAGGTAACTAAAATCAGAACAAAATATATAGTCATTAGTAATACGGATGATGTATTTGGATTTAAATTTTCAAAGCACAAACCAACAATGCACTTATTACTGCTAAATTAATATTGAGAAAAAAAATATTTTTCCCTCTGAATGATTGGCAAGGAGTGTGTAAAGTGGACAGTAAAGCTGTAAAGGAGACTGCAGGTCCCTGGGTGATCCATGGCAAGGCTTCATTGATATCATGATTAATAGAGCTGTAAGACAACTGCTACAGACTGTGGCAGATCCATTGGTTCCAGATATGTTCAGCAATCAGTATGCAGATATGCTAATTTACAGTGTATTACTCAAACTAAAGGATGTTTCTATGCTCCACTAATAGTTCCAAAAGATAATTATTTTCTAGTTAGTGAAAGAGACAAAACCAGGCCCCGAGTGTTGGAGAAGCTTTATTTTCATGGAGCTTTG